TTTATTGGTATTAATTATCTGAGATTCATTTTCTATATCACTCTTCTCCTTCTTCAGATTCGGAAAATGGACCTTGAGGCAAGAAGTTTGCAGCCAAGCGCAAAGGCAATGCTTCTTGCAAAGTTGAGGGAGTACAAATCTGATCTAAGCAACTTGAAAAAGGAATTTAAAAGGCTAACATCACCTAATTCTGACGAGGCTGCCCGTGAAGAATTGTTGGAGGCTGGCATGGCAGATACTCATTCGGTAGATTTGGAACCCTAGATTGTATTACTTTATGGCATCCTTTTCTTAAAAGGATAGTGAAAATAGTTTATGGCTTTGTTGGTTAGAGATATGAAATATCTTCATTAACAGTTTAAACTTTTTGGATAGTTAGTCCTTCCTTGACATGGTATCAAAGCTTTTACGACCAAGTTGTCTAGAGTTTGATAAAAAAAGTTTAGTTTCAGCATGAGATAGTTGCATTATCTTTGCTTCAAACCTGAAGGAATATGTTAGAAATATAATGTAAAACTATAGGAGATCCCATACTGGCTAGAGATATGATCAAATTTGGAGGGTTGAGTTAGGCCTATCCCACTTTCTAAGAATAATCATTAGTGTGTCTTCAGATACCAACTTAAACTTTTGGAATAATTGGTTCATGATAGTAACTGTATTACCTTTAAGGTGTTTCAAATGACAATGTTTTTATTGAGATATTTGTTATAATTAGAGAAATTGTCTATTAAATGTGATCAGGGAAATTATACCATCTTTCTGTTATTCTATTATTTCTGCAGGTAGATTGATTTTTGTCCTTGATTCTAATCCCTAAACTTATGAGCTTGATTCTCTTAGCCCTGTATATGAATATATGACTGTTATCCTGGAATAAACACTATTCTTAAATTTCAACATTGTATTAGAGCAATACAGTCCTTTGACCTACCCATCATTGTTTCATTGCTATGCTTCTTAAAATTCTGAGTTCTACTTTAATCTCATGATTATTCTTGCAAATTAATCATCTTCCATGCTGTGTCAACCTCCAACATCTTGTGACATTTTAAATCCCCTTTGTTAAGTTATTGATTCCTACAAGTTCAGCTGTCTTCCAGCTGTGTTATTCATTCCAACCATATCTTTTGCCATCTTAGCCTCCACCTTGCATATTACGATATTACTAGTGTGTTTCAGACAATTGTTTTGCTACACATTCTATTGCCATATTTCAAACACATTTTCAGCAACCTTTTCTTCCTTTTTTAATCCTTGTTTTGTTCTTTGTTCTGATAACATTTTTCATTGGTCGTGCTCTTGCACTCGTGTTTCTGTCTCAGGTATTATCTACTTTGCCATTCATACTATAAGCATGATTTGAATAATTTTTTGTCATTGCAACCAATCCCCTATTATGTCATTGTTCTTATAGATTTTCTCTTTTGTTTCAAGTCATACACTATGAGATCAGAGACATCAATCTACTCACATGACTTTACCAAAAGTATCAGTTGGCCCTTCTATAGTCTGAAAGAATCGTCACAGTCCCTTCATTTTCAAATCTCAAATTATGTAGTTTGATTTCTTTTATTTAAAGAGGATATATGTTACTAGTTTAGATCTTAATTTGAGGGGGTCTGCTAAGATATTGCAGGAAACATTTTTCAGATATTTGTTATCATTAGGGAAATGATGTCCTAAATTTATGAGATGGATTCTACGTCTTATGTATAAAATATAGGTACAGTGCTGTCATCATTCTTTCGTTTCAACATTTTTTATTTGTTGATTGCTTGTATAATTACAGCATGAGATAGGTGGACCTGTGCATTGTCTACACTTCAAGCCCAAAGGCTTTTGCATGGAGGGACATGCTTGGAATATAACATAGTTTGTCATTTTAGAGTCTTCACATAATAGCCTTAAGATTTTTGGGAAGGTTGGTTATGTCTGTAGCTATCATTAAAGCTCTAAAACAATGATCTTGTTGATTGATTTGAAAGATGATTGACCTAAATTAGGAGCTTTTAGAAACTATTTACTAAAAGGAGGCTGTTTTAAAACATATTACCAAAGTGTGATGTTTTTTACTGTTTACCAGATCAATTCGCTAGTCAAAGCAGCAAGTTCAGTGTCACATCAGTGTTCACATATTCTTTTAAATTGGACAGATAGTCTATGTAACGTGCCATGCATGTCACATGGATGACTAATCCAATTTTTTTAAAAAATATAAATGCTGTAGTGGTACTGAACTAGCTCTTTGGCAGCTGGATTGACCTTGTCAATGGCCAAAACTGTCCCAGGTTGGTAACGAACAACCGGGCCCTTCTAAATAAATATTTCTGTAAGTACCCTACTGGACTAAATTACCATTGATCGAATATTTTCATAATTGCACTCTAATTTTCGCCTCTGGTTTACTACTTATTTTCACTGTTATGTTTCCCTTTTTTAGTAGTTCATGTTGGGGTATTTAATGTTTTGTCTGTAGCCTCTTTAATTTGCTATCCAATTAGTTCCTTAACACCCGTTGATGTTTGAAGAAATAGCTGTGTTTTGTCAGTTTGATCAGTTACCTTTGCCAGTTTAATTGCAGGCTACTATTACTTGAGTATTTATAGTAGAATTCTTGTTAACAACCTGTGAATTAGACATTAATAAAGTATTATTGTTTGTTGTTATTTATTAAGCCATGTCAATATATATCTGGTTAGTAGGGTTGACAAATTGCATGGATAGGATCTATTTTATTTCAGATTAATGGACCAGATGAAAAAAAAAGTCCATCAATCCATTTTGATCCATTAAAAATTTAATAAAAGATCTGATCCATTTAATAAAGTCAAATTCATCCATTCCATTGACATTTTTTTCCTGGATGGATTTAAATAAAATTTTAAAACAAATTAAAAAAATAAAGTTGTAAAACAATTTTTAAAAAAAATATTTTTGAAACTTTTGGCAAAACTTTAATTTAAAGAATAGATTTAATTATTCATGAAAAAATTAGGTTATTAGATTATTTGATTGTATTTATAGAGTGATTCCTTAATCATCCATAAATAATTTGATCAATAAACCAATTTTTTAATATTTTTGTAATGATGAACTTTGGATAGGATTTTCTTGTGGATGGATAGGATGGATGATGTATAAATGGTTTGTTTTGCCACCCCTATAGTTCATGAGAGTGTTATCTCTGTGATGAGAATAGTTTTGCTTGTTTCTTTCGCAATAAGTTGCAGACGTGTGCATATGCATATCTTGGGCTCTGTTTTATATATACTGAGAGTGCAGCTTAGATGCATATTTTTGCTTTCGGAATTATGAAATTAGTAGGCTTTTGCAGTTGGTTCCACCTGTAAGCCATGTAAACGGTTCTGATGTTATTCTATTTTTTGGTTGGTAAATTGGATACATTGGCAGGCTTCTGCTGATCAGAGAGAAAGATTAACTATGTCTGTGGAGAGATTAAACCACTCCAGTGACAGAATAAGGGAGAGGCCATAGAACCTTACTGGAGACTGAAGAACTTGGTGTTTCCATCCTCCAGGATTTGCACAGTCAGCGAGAGACTCTATTGAACTCCCAAATAAGGGTAGTTGACATGTATAACTATTTTTTTTAATGAAGCATTCTGATTATGTGAACTTTAGGTTGTTTTAGTCCTTTTTTCATGAACTAGGAAAGAATCATGAGATGATCTTTATTATCTGAGAAGTATTAAAACCAATCATGACACTTATTTGGGGAACAAGATTATGAACCTCCTTCAACTTAACAAATGCAATGAGAAGTTGTGATGATTATTGGTTGATGGTCATGTTTCCTTGCGTTGCAGCTTCATGGGGTAGATGATGCTATTGACAAGAGTAAGAAGGTTTTAACTACCATGTCACGGAGAATAACTAGGAACAAATGGATCGTTGCATCTGTGATTGGAGCTCTTGTTTTTGCTATAGTTGTTATTCTTTTTTACAAGCTATCTCATTAGCTTATAAAATCATAAAAGATATGACAGAATGGAAGCAATGTTTAATGCTTTTATGTACTTGGTTGTATATAGGAAATGTATGGACATAGGTGGCGTTATCATATATCCCTGCAATTGTTTCGCCTCTGTTATTTTTAAGATTGGAAAGTTTTTCCAATGATATACTTTGCTTTTTAATGCTCTTAATTAATGTTTTTCTTTTGAACTGTAAGAACAATTACTTAATGCAAGTAAGTCTGTTCGAGTATACTCTTTTTATGACATGATGTATTTGTAGTAGCATATCTGAAGTTCATGATTTCCAAATCTTTGTGCTAATGCCGTGTGCGAGTGCCTTGTTCATTGCCTTAGCTGAAGTGTTTACCTGAAAAGAAACTTTTTGCGGAATATGCAACTTCTATTACCTTCTCTTTGTGCTGATTCTTTTTGTTAAACTTATTAAAATAAGTCAAAAAGATTTATAGAAAATGTCAAAATTATGCTACATAATTTCATTTCATAAAGCGACGAAATTCATATATGTAACAACTCTTATTTATCAAACACTCATTTTTTCAAATATAAACAAAATAACTACTTTTTACACTAACGGAACAAGTTAATTAATGTAATTTAATTATATTAACCATCATGTTTAAAAAATGTAACTCTTTAAAGGGTCATTTTTAAAACTTGATAAAACAAAATAACATACTAATTAAGAGTGTATGTTTACGGATATTTTTCGCAATAGCACACTTTTTCTTTTTAATTTCCCACATAGATATTATTTATGATATTATTTATTGTGATCACACACTTTTTGGCTAGTTTAGAATTCGAGTAAGGATCGGCCGAATTTCTATCTTTATTTTGTCATCCCATATCAATCGAGACAAAATGAAGGTGGGAATTTGATTACCCATAACCCAAATTCTGAATTAGCCAAAAAATATACGTAAATATTATATACAATGTGCTATGTCGAAACATTAAAGAGAGTGTGCTTTGACGAAAAAATAATATCTATATTTATGATATTATTAAATAAAATAAAAAATAGTTAAAGCTTGTTTATATTTAAGTTTATTAAAAAATTTGATCTATACTAATGAGTAAGGATAAAATATTTATTTCCAAACAAAATATAAAGAATATAAATTAACATTAATAAAGGATTGGTCAATATATTCCTGATTATTCATTTTTTTGTTAAAATGTTATTCCCTTAAACTTGATATCGAGAATAACAAGATTAGATAAGACTTTAAATTAATTAAAAATTGTTTTAATAATTATGTCATTAAGTGAATAAAAATGGTTGAAATATTTTGAGTCATAGTTGTTGGTAGGAAGAATAACCAAAAAACATGGATCTTGAAATAGCGTGTAAGTTACAGTAGCGGCGATAGGAAGCACGTAGTAGTGAATGTGAACGTGTGTGTAGAGTACAAAATGATCACGAACTGAAATATGAACTGAAACTTAGAACAAGTAAGATCCACGTGGACCCCACTTAACAAAAAATCTTGTTTCCCAATTTCACAAACTCAACTCCAATTTTTCCTTTGCTTTTCTTTTCTTCCTTTCCTAATTTCTCTTCTCTCATCTTCATCTCCAATCCAATCCATTCCAATTCTCATGGATTCCCTTCCTTCCGTCTCGCCCTCCATGGTCCTCCCTCCTAGCCACCCTTTCCCCGCTCCCTCCGCGCTTCCCTCTCTGCCCGAACCCGAACTCTCGCCGCCGCCCACCTGTCCGTCTCCTGCACACTCGCCGGCGACGGCAACCGACGACGACCTCGCAAAGGGCTCTCCACATGGACGGCGCCATTTATTCCAGCCACCCAACGAGTTTTGTCAAACGCGTCTCCTCACCTCCTACGACATCGCCGCAACCTCCAGCTGCGTCCTTCGATTCAGCAGCTACGACGGTATCTACACACAGCCTTCTTCTTTCCTTTTCTTGCATACCATTGTTGGGAGAGATAAAAGTATGACTAACCGAGTGGATCTATGGAATGATTTATCCTTATTCTTATACCTCCAAAATTAACTTTTATCTATGTGTAGGGATTAGAATTTACAGTTGCATAACCGTAGTTGTAAGGAAGAAACTTGAAGTAAGTTGTCATAATGAACTAAGTGCATAGTTGTTCTACTACCTTGAAATAAAATTAAAAGGGTGAAAGAAAATTGTTTGTTAATGTGTTGTGTATATTTCCTTGATTTTTATTCAGTTTTAGATGCCAACCCTTGGAGAGAGACTTCGAAGGCCGTGTGATGTACTCACGCAAAAGGAAAATCAAATTGTGCACAATGAAGACCCGCAGAAATAGAAGGTTGGGTTAATTAGAGATTGGATATGTTGTGTTGCTTTTTCTTATGTTATGTGTGTTTGGCATTTCTCGTAGCTGAGTTTGCTTTTTCCTGTGACAGTGAGGGTTGAAATAGAACTGGGAATTGTTGTTTTCTAAGGAGGCAAGTGGGGATCTGGAATTGGAAATCAGTCCAAACAGGCGAGGGGAGGGACTACTAAGTTTCAAATGCTTGTGGAAGATGTTAGAGAGGGAGTACTGGTATGTGTTCTATTACACATGATATTGTGATTTAATTTATATTCATCAAACATGTGGGGAACATTTTTTAATGTGCGAAAACGTCGAAATATTATGATATATGTGTTTACCTTTTGTTTGAATTCAATCGTTATATATATTGATTTCTTCAATTTGAAAGCCACTTTTTATAGCGGTATTTTGGTTAGTGCCAACCAGGACCATTAAAAAAATGCAGTTTCTTCCTATTCATGAATTGGAGAATGGTTTTTAAGAAAGATCTGCAACTGAAGCCAACCTCCTCAATGTTACATGTCTGATGTATCCACTGTGGCTATGTGACCCTTTCCGCTGGCATTTACTTTAATTTCCACGATTTCAAGAATTAAGCAGTGGAGAACCCATAATTTAAAATCTTTAAAATTGGATTTTCTAACTGGACACTTACACAATCTCCCATGCCAACGTTTCCTATAATCATCATAAAATCGAAACCCCAATTTTGATTGAAGAACAACGGAAACAATATCTGCAGAAGAAGTACATCTAAGTTATGTCCCTAAATGCAATGAAACAATCTTATGTCCATAACATATTGCATGGTTTATTGTAATTTTCAAGCTATTGGAAGATAATTTAATCCATTACAATGTGACAATATGGTTGCAGGTATTTGAAGATGAAAATGAGGCAGTAAAGTATTGTGAACTTGGCTAGAAGGCGGTGGTCAGGTTGTGAGGGTGTTTGCCGAGATAGAAGCCTCATCGGTACAAATAACTGACCAATTATCATTTGTCATGTTCTTTTTCTGTTGCTTGGAAACAATGTACCACAACATTTGCTATTGTTCTTGCAGTATTTTGATCTTTGGCCAGAAAATGAGGGCTCTTGCAGTTCTATTCCGCAGAGGGAGGACACCTCCTCTTCCTGAAAGTCTTAAACTCAATCTGCGAGCTCGTAAAAGGTTCCTTGAAGATCAAGATGATTTGATGTGAAATTCATATTCCCTTTTGATGAGAGCAAGCATCTGTGCTAATTGCTAATATTCTTAGCCCCAACGGAACAAAAATAATGTATTTCATAGAAAAA